CCGGCCGTCATGGCCCCCACGCCGCCCACGACCGCTACGCCGCTACTGGCTTCGTAGTGGTACATTGGTCTGCGTCGAGGGTTTACGCTCTTAATTCAGTGTGGAGGGAGGTATACAACACATAAACACGGAATGGTACAGGAATAGTGAGCCACGTTTACCACATTTAGGCATTTTGTCATTATAATAGAGATTTTCTAGGAAAAGATAAGTATAGAAGTACTATTTACATACTAAGAATTAATTTTATAAAATACCTTGGATATATTGGGCCGGAACTGGTCTCCTGTTCGGACTGATCAGTCTTCATCGGAGTTGGTAGGTGTGGGTCATGGTAGCGTTCATCTTCCCACCCGTACGGGCGCTGTGGACATTGCGCCGGCTCATAGCGCTCGAACGCCGGGGTTCCCTCGTAGCACCGGGGCTCGTAGCCGTAGCGTGCTTCGTTCATTTGGCTACAAAAATAATATGATCCTTAAACAATATAGTTTAGTTACGATGTATAATTCCATTACATTAATGAGAGACTGGGTTTAGGTTATACACATACACACAGTTGTGCGTAAATTACCTGTAGGAGCGGACGTGGTCATCCGGCGGGCGGTCGTACGGCGAGCGCTGGTCGGGCGGCGCGCCGTACCCCGCGTGGCGCGTCTCCATGCCGCCGGGGGAGTCGCGCTCGGGCTCGGCGGCCTCGCGCTTCGGCACCAGCAGCTCGGCCGATTCGCTTTTCACTTCTGGACTCGGCGGCGATGCCGCTTGTACGCGTTCTGCTTCGATTTCCCGCTCCTTCTCGCGCTCACGTTCTCTTTCCCGCTCACGTTCTTGTTCACGTTCGCGTTCTCTTTCCCTTTCTCTTTCTCGTTCACGCTCTTGTTCTCGTTGTCGCTCTCTTTCCCGTTCTCTTTCTCGCTCTTTTTCTTTTTCGCGTTCACGCGATGTATTTGAATCGATGCTTGTTGTTGTTGTTATTGATGTATGTGGTAATGTAGCTACTGTATGAACCGTGACAAAAAAAGGATTTTTAACAACAGGAGCAGTATGAATTTTTACTATTGTGTATATATTGGTGAAACATATTTAATTAGTATTTATCGATTTAGGAAGATATGTGATTCAAGTGTAATGTTAAAAAGCTAGTAATTTAAGTGCCCCTCATTTCTCATGTTTAATGTAATGTTTTTTTTTTTTGTATTTACTGATATTGAAACTGTTAATATCATGAATGGTATGTGTACCTGGTGGTCTGGCGCGTTGTGACCTAGCAGCGGCCTTGCGCGCAGCGGCGGTGGGGCAGCCTGAGAGCGAGCGGTGGGTGCTGCGATTTGAACTAACGTGTCCGCGCCCGTTGCAGCCCGGCGTCGGGCACTTCAAGATCGTTTCGTGTAGCGCCAAGACTGCACATTAAACGCACAATTAATATGTTTCTGATAGCCTATTCTTATCAACGGTAACATTAATTTACTAAATTACTCACAACAAAAATTTACAAACCAAGAAAATATAAAACGAAGAAAAACTGCAAATTCTAAAGGTTTTTTCACACATTGTCATTTTGTAAATCTATGTTTTCTATTATTAGATATATATTATTTTATTTCTATGTAACCTATGAAATGAATGAAATATGATTGAAATAGTAGATAAATTTCTCACTAAGATGTATTTACAATGTAAATTTTACAAGCATTTGCATTAAACATATTAGAAACAAAAGTTCATTATTATGACTTGTTCAAAGTTTGAACCTAACATACTCGTAGTATTCCTTTATGTTGTAATTATACGAAATCTTTTTTCATTTCGTGATTAATTTCAGGGCTCCTTTAATGAACTTCTAAATTAAATCATAATAAATACTCAATACAAAAAACAAATTATTCTACAAGGCAAATAATTGGTAATCAACTGAAAAACAAATTTGTAACGAAAGTAACTTGTAAGACCGACAACTTTGTTCAGCATTACTATTTCCTTAATAATATTATTATTCAGTGTTGCAGATATTTTCAATGCTCATGATTCATTTATAAATGATTGGATGAAAAATGTGCATTACAATTTTGTAGCATAAAATCATGCGATATAGATATCTGAAAAAATCGTCGTTCTTTCTTACAGGATCATTAACAAATGAAATGATATTAATAAGCTCTACCAATACGTGATCGTTTCATTACTCACTCTCCGGGGTGACTTTATCCTTTCTTGGGCATCCTGACAGACTGAGGGAAGAAATGTATACATCAGTCTCTCTACAGCTTTGATCGAACATTTACAATTCATTTACAATTGAACAAACTGAATCCAACTTGATCATCTCTGTTATACAATTTATAGGAAAATTTTCAAACCGTTCATTATTGTTTTCTTTTATAAGGGCAAATTTGCGGCGGGAGCACCGAGGTGGTCATCGATGCCTAATTATTTATGTTAGTGGTAGTAAGCTTTGGTTGTTAAAACTAACCTTCTATGGTGTGTGTAAAGTCCAGTGACGTGGCCCTGCCCATTGCAGCCAGGAGTGGGACACTTGTTGCCTTCTGTGAACAATTCGAGCGGTTCATGAATTAGAATTTCGTTAATCATCAGGCGGGGGCGTGCGAGCGCGATCGATACGTGCGGGCGTGTCCGCGGAGAGCGGCGCTCCGCCCACCCGGCCCTGCCCCGGCCCACCCCGCTGAGAAACTTAAAAGAAAAAATAAAGAACGCCAGGCGGCTGCGCGACTTGACTGCTGATTTTTTTTTCAGCTGAAACGGGGCGGTACGTCGAAGCTCCGCCCACCGACTGCCGTGACCCGTTTTTATTGCGCCTCACTCTGACGTAAGCCCAGCTATCTGCCAGCAGTACGAGGAAAACATTTAGGTACTATCTTTTATATGCGTTATCGACGTAGGTGGAGTTTCCCACTCTGACGACCGCAGACTAAATTATGAGAGACATCTTACAAATGAGGGATGATTTGTTACCGGATTTCGTTGCGAGTTAAAATCTGTTCCGAAAACGATGTCGGTTTTAAATAATAACATCGAAACTTCATGTTCGGTTCAACTTCGTGTACTCCTATTTTCTTATTGACAACAAATGACATTATAATATCATTATTAAGTAAGTGAAGTTACAAACTATGAAGTAAGTCAGTCGCTTAGGTCGTTTGTACTTGATATGCACGACCTTGAAACAAACTTAGTTGGTGATGTCGTATTAAGTTGAATGGAACAGTAAGATCGTTAACGAAGTTCGGGCGGGTTTGTTGGCGGCGCACCTCTCGGCGGCGGCGGTGAGAGCGTAGAGTAGATGCGAGAGTCGCGAGCTGGCTGCGTAGAGGGCAACGCGCGCGCCTCCTGTAGCGCGGTAGCGGCACGTGAGCCCACACCCGCCGGTTGCAGCACCGTGTACTGCTTAGACACCTTTGCCGCCGAACTCTTCTCGTGCTCGTTCGAGTATCCGCCAAACGGTTCGCTGGGAAACGACGGCCCCGGGATTTTATGTTTCACCTCTGCCGGAGGTTTGAACGCAGACTGTGTAGAAAATGGCAATGCTGCCGTCGCTGCTTTGTATGCGTTGTAAAGCGATTGCTTGTTAACGGCAAGCATTTCGCTTTTTATTTTATGTTTCATGTCCTGGTCGTCATCGTATTTCTCATCCATTTGATCAGACATATCTATTTCTAGCTCGTTAGAGGACGAGTCTACGAGTTCGTCAAAATTAGGGCCGTCGTAATTATTGGAGTACCGACTGTGCCTATCGTCTTCTACGCTCTTTTCTCGGTCAGAAAACGATATTGGCGGTTTATTGTCTTCATTGAATTCCCCGTTATTATGATCTTCGTTTATATTGTGGATCATAAAACTTTTTTGCGAGGCGTCGGCGCTATCCGATGATTGTGAGGGAGAGGAAGGAAGCATTTTGTCGGATCTCCTGTCATCAAAAAGATGATCGAAATCGTTGCCATCGTTTTCGTCGCCGCTGTTTCCGCTTGTCTGGTCCCTTGACCAACTTCCCGAGAGTGTTATGAGTGCCTGGGTCTCTCGAATAAGATTTTCATCATCTTCGTCGGGCAGCCGCATGGACTGTGACAGTTTGGTTGCGAAGGCCTGTTGTAGCATGTCGGTATCTTCCGTGTACTCCTCATCGAGCAGGTGCCGTCGACGTTTGTTGAGGACCTGATCGTCCATTGAGACTTCGTTACCGATGCACTCGAATCTCCGGTCGTTAACTCGAAATGCCTCTATGTCGACTCCGATCTCAAGCCTTCTTTTATTTATTTGTGATAATGATGAATGTGTGTTCAGCGGAGTCGTCCTGGAACAAACAAACTTGTCAAACCTGTTCCGCTTTATAAGTAGCATCATATAAAACACATCAATAATATAAGATTGTTTAGTACTTGCGATTCGAATTTCCATCCACAATCAAAATATTTTTACGCGGAAATGATTCTCGGCGTTTCCAATTCGACGTCATCGCATTGTAAGCACTTCGTAATTAAGTTTAATTGCACAAAAATCGTTCCCACGTAAAAACCATTTCACTCAAGAGCTTTCAGACCAATTTTATTTCGTCAAGGGCGAAGTCAATCAAGTAAAAGTACTTTTAAAGCTTATTGAGTTTAAAAAATGGTGAACAGCAGTGTTAATTGAAAGTTGGCACGAGATCAATAAAATTACACGATGGATTTTTCGAAGTTCTAAATTTTAAACGTTTCATTTACTTTTCTATCTAGTCTTTAGTTTAGAAATTAGGTTCTTTCCACAACTCGCTGCAATAGTATTTAAAATATTTTAAAGTTTTGAGGACACGAAAACTTTTTCACAAACTTTTTTCCTGTCAGTTCGACATTATTTGACTTAAGTTTAATCAAAGAGGTTTGTTTTAGTAGGTTTTATTTAGTTTAAAACTGCTTTATTTTTATTTTTCCAACAAAATTTCTGTTAACTGGTAATTCCATAATAAAAGGATTAAAGCAAATTAAAAAACCATTCGTACTATACAAAATTTTATAAAGCACTAAAAGCTATAAATTCGCTGCTGAGAAATACGAAGAAAAGAACGAAAGAAGACACATAAAAAGAGCGTATGAATTTAAATTCAACCGTACCATTTTAAATGCATCTTCACCATCGTATTGCTTATTGAATTATAAATATTTTTATACCTCAAAATCATAAGAAAGGATTTTTTTTTGGTAAACTTTTCTATTACCTTATTGCTATTATTAAAAAGAATAAAGTCAATAAGTGCAAATAAATGAATTATTCATAGGTTTTTCATTACTAATGGAAAATTATTAATAAAACCGTCGCGTCGTTATAAAAGTTATAAGTATAGCAATTGAATCTGATTTATTGATCTCTATTCGACGAAAGTTGTGCAATATGCGGCTCTACTTAAGATAGTAATCGATGGCCCTTGACGAAGGTATCGGGCGCGGGGCGCACCGGATACTTGGAATACCGATAGTGCGGCCGCCCGGCAAACATTTACGTACGTGACGCACCCTTTACTCAGTACCACGGTTAACAGAAATAGACCGAAACGTGAAACGATTTCAGAAGCCAGCTGAAGGGGTGTAACGCACGAATTTGCGTTTGCGAAAGCGCTTACGTGTTGGCGTAGGGTAATTAGATAAACCCTGAGGGCGGTGGATGCTTAACCGGTTTAAACTAGTACTAGTGCGGACCTTTATCAGCGGGCGGCGAGTGGCGGGTTATCTCGGGGCCGCGTTAATTGTAATGCCTGGAGATTATGGCGCGATATAGACACGTATAGTGTGTATATCTGAGTAAGGTATAAAGGGGTTCGTGTAAGATTCCAACATAAACCTTATAATAATATTCAAATAAGATGAAGCTAAACGTAAAAAAAAAGACGGTGGAAATAGCATTTTCGTAGATCTGTTACATTAAATTGAAATGTTTTTAAGGTATAGTATGTTATATTATCAATGTAGTTGTGAAAATTAAAAGTAATATCAAAATCCGCAGTAGAATGTCACGATGTAACTTTTTAAAAACATGTAAATAATAGACATTTCCCAAAGCATCATTTTTTTTTAAATTAGACTCTTCGAATTCCCAACGTTTACGAATAAGCACGTGAGCGTGAAGAAATCACTACCAATAAGTCTTTATTAGAGGACGAAAGGTGAATCGAGACCCTTTCCCTCGCAGCTATAACAAACACGCGTTGGCCTCCCGCGGGCCCCCGCCGTCGCGGCTTCCAAATTCAAATTGCACCTTAGAATTCTTAATTATTGAAATCATAAATCAAAACGTGCCGTCTGGGCGGGCGACCATAAAATTGAGTGGGGAGGCGAGCGAGAACACTCGAGTGTGGTAGGATTAAGACATTATCACTTTTCTTTCAAGCAGTCGCGCCCCCGTCGGCCGCGCTCGGCTGTAAATCAGCGGCTAAATCCTCCGGATTAGATTCATAGAGTTGCCGCGGCCCGGGGAATCCCGCGCCGGCGATAATGGCTTCGTGTGCTCGCGTGATTTTGCTTTTAAATCGACTCCCTTGCTAAGATAAATACACTCCCAATTTGGCTCCGTTCCCGGACCGAGATTTCAAACAGCTTTAAAGGTGACTTAAGTTCATTGAGAATAACAACTGAAAGTGACTGATAACGCCACGACCTTTCCAAAACGTGATGTAAAAGTTAATGCTGATAAGAAGGATTTAAGTTCTGGAAGTTTATTAAGTAGTGAATAGGCACAAAAAAGGAAATTCCACTGACTTTACTTTCGACAAATGTTATGACGAATTACTTCAAAATAAACTGGAGTAGAACACTGATTGTCTCTTTGGACCAAGCAACATTCGATTAGCGATATCGCTAGGGGGATGTAGCCCTTAAGAACGCAATTCATTTAATTAAGATTAACAAAACCGATAAATTCAAAATAACCAAATATTATCAGTTGTCTTTATATATTTTTGTAGTAATAAAATCTACATCGTACTATACCATTCACTGTTCTAATCCAATAAATGAGTCGTTTGCTAAATCTTCAACTAAGTTTTGCTTTAAATGAGGTTATTTACGAAAATCATAAAGAAAATCATAATTAAATAGACTAAACTACATTAAAATATGAAGACATGTTGTACTTAAATTTAAATTTGTTTGTAACAGATGTAAGTCGAAAGGCATGGAAGAAACATATACCAATGTCAGTTAAAATCTGGTAAGCGAATGTTTAAAATACTTCATTCAGATATACTCTCGCTTGTATGTGACTCGTTGAAGCAGAGATTGCGATCTATTTTATAAAATTTATTCGATAAATTCGTATGAGATGATTCCTACTAACATTGACTCACACTTTTTGATTTTAATACTCTATTTCACTCTTCATTCATTCTTTTTTGTTTCGAACCATTGATGTATACATTTATTAATTTTCGTCACAGTGTTTTTTTGCTTCAATTACGAAATTCATAATAAATAGAAGAAACCCTCTTAATTTGTGCTTTATAATACAATGAATCTGTTTTCTACCAAATAATACAAATATTTTTTGTTTTTTAAATTACACGATTTAATAACATCAGTTACTTTATAGACCTGTTAATAGTTTTTTAAATAAACGTTTTAAATCTTTGTAGAATCAAATTAAAATGTACATTATCTTATTTTAATTAAATTACAAACAAAGTATTCGTCGCTCGTCTTAAGAGAGCAAATAAAAACATTATAAAATTAAGTCCTAAAATGTTTACACTTTTTTATAAGAAAAGAAAAAACATCAATCAACTACAAGCAGTATTATGAATTTACACGAAATATTGTTGTGATATGCTATGACTATACAAGAAGGGTGTTTACTCCACAGAAAGACCCTCTTTTGAAGTGAAAAATCAATAGTGCAATAGTTAAATTCGCTCTAAATAAGTGGGCTAATGGTATAACGCGGTACAATGCGAACGGCCCTTACCCTACTACAGGTATAGGGTTGCCAAATTCAAAACATGTAAAATATTTTTTTGGCTATGTTTCATCGCCGGAATTGACAATAAATTAACAAATTGCAATATTATATCCGTCTCAGAAAATCTTTTTGAATTTCCTAGGCTTAAATAACTAAATTAAATTTTAACTACCGTCGACTACTTGGTTATAGTATTGCAGTTTATAAATGTATGCATTACGTTTATTTTTAATTGCTCGCGTCTTCGTACGCGTAAAATTAAAAAATAGCCTATGTTACTCGCAGATAAACTATCTTTCTAACGGTAATTTTTTTGAAATCGGCCCTATTAATTTTTACGTGAATTGAATACATACTAAAATCCAAAAATACAAATCTTTCCACTTTATAATACTAGTATAGATTACCATTCACCAGCCACTTCGACCGCATGAATTTTTTTTTGAAAAACAAGAGTGAATAAATTTCTTCCAGACTATCCTCTACATCTATACCAAATTTCATCCACATCCGTTTAGCCGTTTAGGCTACAAACTCTGATAAATATCCATCCATTCATATAAACTTTATATATTAGTATAATGAATGATGTTCCTTATTTTTCTTTAAACATTGGTATAGTTTAAATGAAAAAAAGAAATATAGTTGTGAAAATGTTCAACCCTAGATGCGTAGTGCACTCGAGGCAGGAGGCCCGAGGCTCGAGGCGAGGGTTATCATGTTGTGTGCCGTGTCGGGCCCTTGTGTATGGACACGTACGTGACTCGTGCGAACTCCACTTGCCTCGCATTGACAATGTACATTTAAACAATTGAATATTGAGCTTTTTGTTTTTAATTACGATTGTAAAAGATTATGCTCTTGATTTTATTAATGCCGTTTTGATTAAAGTTTAAATAGAATATTGGTGTAGAGTATGTTTGTAGCCTTTTCGTATGGTTTTATTTTGTTGATCGAAATTGCATTGAAATTTATGTCTTGGATTTAGAATACTGTACGTAAAAAAATGCCGATCAAGTAAGAGTCTTTGATAACATATTTAAATTAATACGCATTTTATAGTAATCCTTTATTGATATTTTGTTTATCAAATAGTAGGTTATAGGTAGTAAAAATAAGTTTGCGAAGATGATGAAATATTCTATTCTGATTTATGTGTCAAGTCCGACACTTAAACAAAGAACAGTGATTTTAACTCCAATAAAACTAGATTCCTTTCACTCCTAACTTAGTGTAAGCTAGGAGTTCTTCAATGAGGACGTATAGTTAAGTGTTATTTCAAAACTAGATTTCCTATGTCTTAAATAGTTCTATGGTTTCCTTTTTAATTATTCATACATATAATATCTTCGTTACATGTGGGAAAAATTATATTTGTTTCTTGTATTTTTGAGTATTTTTATTTAATTTTCTTTATGTTCAATATACGTTTAAAGTATTGAAATTGTAAGCATTAGTCGAGTCTCGTTTTGGTGAGAACTGTAGCATAAATGAAAGCCGGTGGGAAGGTGCCCATCAGATATCGCCGGTGCTGTGGAAACAATTTGAGCCGCCTATCTGATCGGGGCAGGGTTGGAGGCGTCACACGTGAAATCGTTTTAACTACCCCACCTGCGTTTAAGTTAATTGTAATGTGAACATTTGCATTTTAGTTTTTTAAATATCGTGTTAGATATGAATTTTTAATTGTTGAATTCGTAAAACTAAACTGTTTTAGATCAATAAAGAATTTTTTTTTTTTTAGTTATCGGTATACAATTAAATATAAAATATATTTCTATAAGTGCAATGAAATTTATAAAGCAAAGATTTTTTAAATAGTTCTTATTATTTTATTTACTAAATCAAATAACATAATCGTCCATCACTTCTTTTCAAACTACAATATTATTGTTACCGAATGTAATAAATAAAAGGATTTACTTGATCCTCCGGTCATATTATTATTTAAGTATTCTAATAACGTGTTAAAAAGTTTTTTTTCTATTTAATTAAGTAATATTGTTCGGCTCATAATTTTATTTCATATAAAAATTCGACGATAAGTTATTCAATTGAAAAAACAGCAATCAAATTTTATGCGAAGTTAAATGTAGTATACGGTAGAGCAAAATTATTTTCTTCCTATCTATAATTAAAAAAAGTTTATAAAACTTAAAATTTAGCATTTTTTAAATTCTCTCTTCAAAGTCACCCGTTTCTTATGCGGCAGATATATTCACTAAAAGAAGTAATATAAATATTCATCCATTCAATAATAATCTCTTATTTTGAAAGCATTTGTGAAATGGTTTTACGAGCGTGGGATTTGTGCTTTAACGTTTTATTATTTTTAAATCTCTTCAAACTTCTTGCGTAATTCACCGACGTAGAAAGTGCACTGCTGAAATTACAAAGTCCCGAAAAATTACGTTTTAAATAGTTTAATACACAACGCAACAAAAATGTTTTCTATTAAAATTATTCTCGTTTTTTAAACGTTAACGAGTACCGAGTTATTTATTTTTAAATTCTATTTAGTTAACTTACCAGACGGGCCGTACGAGTGCTGACATTTTTATAAAACGGGGGGCCGAACCCGCATCACGCACAGTAGTTTGTATTTACTAATTCACGAAAACACTGACAAAAATTACACTTCACAAAAATCACCGCGTCTAGAGTTCAAAGTTTTGTAGGGTATAATTAACGCGTAGCACTTCGTAGCGGTGCTACGTCAGAAAAGTTTGTCCGTAGGCCGTAGGTCGCGACTAGGAGGTCGGAGCGAGTCCGTAGGAGCGGGCGGCTCGCGGGGCGCGACTCGCGGACTACACGGAGGCCGCGCCGCGCCGCGCGGGGCCGGCGGAGGCTCGTGCGCGCGCACGCCGCGCCCACGCCGCCCCGCCCCACACACCCGCAACCTATTTATTTCTAGTTACGTAAAATTTACGCGCAATACCAAATAGGTACTGCATTATAACTTATGTTACTATTTTGCAGTACCTAAAATGTCAATTTGATAAATTGATACTTTAGAATTCCATTTATTTACTTTAATGTATTCTTTTTTGTTAGTACTAAGATCCGTAAGAACTCTTGAATAGAGATTGATTATGAGACAGATACAAAAAAAAAAGGAAATTTTAAAGGTAAATATTTGTATTAAAAGCCAATCACTGTTTTCCACTCGGTATCAATTACGACCCCGTCAGGTGAGGCGTCAACAGAAAAAAGAAGTCACCCGCCGGACGCCGGCCGCTGACGCCGGGGGCGCGCCGTCAAATTTGGCAGACAAGTTTTTTGGGCCTTTTCGATGCTATCAATGTCACTTAAATAAATTGAACGAATCGGAGGGCTGAGGATGATATGTCTGCTTTAAATTGGTATTAACACCATGAACCGGAGATAACTGTCAACGTTTAAATACCGCGTTAAAAAGAGTATCGTAAACAATGACTAAATGGTAAACAAAGTAGTAGCAGAGCACGCAACGTTCGCGAATCGATGAGAAAGTTAGTGGAAGCGTGTCGTCACAATCAGCTGTTCGCACCGCGAGCGCAACAGACAATGCGATTAAGATCTACGCAGGACAACTTTCGCCGCGCGCCGAGCGGCAGTTAGTTGTTATGAAAGAGAGAAATTTGTAAATTGTTGGCGCCCGAGTTCACGAACTCCGTCGAACCGGAGTTTGTTTTAAGAGTCCAACCTTGAAACAAGAAGAAAAGTAGTCCTGTAAAACAAAGTTTTGCGGCCGCCGCCGTCGCCGGCGCAAGCGGTTCAAGGATTGTGCCCGAACTGTCTGTCTGTACAACTTTACCGATTAAAAGCTCAAAAGCTTCCAAAGTCATTTTAAAAGTTTATCTGCGCGGGGCGGCGGGGCGCAAGCGAGCACGGGAGGGGCGCAGTGTAGGCGCTCTGTTATCATCCACCGTTACTTTAGTTGGACCTAGTTTAAGTTATTTATAAATCGTCTCCGGTCGTCGGTCGACGGCCGCGGCTCCTAAATTAAACTGTCAAAGTTGCGAGGCCGCGTAGCGCCTATCGCGGAACATATGTTCCGGCGGCGAATAGTTGCCGCGTACCCGCTGAGTTCCTAGACCCTTCGCTACTTTGTTTTACATCTGTTCCACTTAGCGAACTCCGGCTGGAGTCGGCGCGAGTTCTTGCATGTGTATCGGCGGCACACGCCCGCATCCGAATAGTTTCATAAACATAACCCAACTTAGTTTTGGACGACTTTTCAAAGTCAATGCATACTAACTTTCCATGTCTGGAAGTGCGATATTACTATTGGATCGGATTGCGGCCGATTTTAATGCATTCGTTTGTTCGAAACTTTGCTTTATGTCGGAAACTTTTGAAGAGGTCTAAACAATTCATTTTGTTTCTTTGGACCTACAGTCCAAACTAAGTTTTATTATTGTTTGTGTGTAACTTTCAAAACAATACTTTGTGTTCGGTTGCTACGTTAAGTAATTGGCAAATTAGTTTGTTTTGTTTTCGTCTATATACAATGTGCTACTATACAATGTTTTAAATGTGTAAAAGCAGTACATTTTAAAGAAACATTTACCTTTTTATGTATGTAGTTATGAAAAAAAATAACATTTTAAATCCGACTGAAGAAATACATGATTCATTTTGTTTCTTTAGAATGAATGATAAACATAAAACACCCTTTATTTAAATCCTTATTTTCTAAATTTTACATTTAACGGTTCATTACTCGCAGAGTACGATTCGTTCTCATAATCAATGTAATTACCGAAATCTCTAACGGAGAGTCACGATCAAACAGTCAAGCGCGCAGATAAAGCTGCCACAGCCCTCGGCGCGTTGTCGCTACCACCCTACGGTGACCTATCAAGCGTCCTATTTGTTCCAATAACTTGATAGAGGTGAATAATCCTTCAATGTTTACACAGATCTAAACATTTTGGTCGAAGTATACGTGTTATCTTACTGCGCCAATAAGTCACGCAATAATTACCGCGAGTCGAGGATCACGCGCTCCCCCGTACATATTTATGCAAGTTACATAAATATACATAAATAAATATCGCTCGCGACAATTGCAAGCGGTTTTATGGTTGAGAATAATGTACGGCCCCAGGCTGCGACTTATAACCGCTCATATCTCTGATAGTCCCATTAGGAAACACGCGTAATAAAACGTTTTCATTATTTATATGCGAAATTTTCATTAAAATAATTGAACAACCGTACATAGTATATGTTATATCTTTTTAATTTAATTTTGTACATATTTTTTTTATAGAATAACTCTTTTTATTATTTTAAATACAATTATTAACAAATTATATCTACTGTGTTATTTTTAACTCAAAAATCAGTGTCATTATCCCTTTAGTTAGTTGTCGAATGAAACTAGTAGAGAAGGACATCTAGGTCTTTGGCCACACCCATTTTGCCGGCCCACAGACATTCATTCATTCTGGGACATTCTGGGAGTTTTTTTTACCTAAACTTGAAAACTTGTTTGGGAAGGCGAGATATAATTTAATAGACATCTAATAAATATTGTTTTGTAATTCGTTAGTTATAAGATCTTATTATTAAGCAAAACATATTTTTAATAAGTGTTTTAATAATTAGATTCTAAGAAAATTATTCAGCTGTTCCCATAGATCGGTATTTCATTAATGTTTTAATTGTTTTGGAAATGTCGTTTTTATCATCGTGGTCTATAAAAGCTCTTGAGTGTGTTTTTGTAATTTACATAAAATTCATTGTAATGTAATTAAGTTGCAAACTTACATTTTTGAAGTGGACGGACGAAAAATTTTGTGCGTAATATCACCTCCGTTGAAAATCTGAAACAATAAATTTTAATTAATAAACTAACGAAGATAAAATTAAAACCAATGTACCATCATATTTAAATATATGCTATTGTTATGAATTAGTAAATATAGGATTTACGTAACTGAAAACAATTGAATATAAACTTATACAAGTTTGTTATTAATAATTTCAAGTACACGCAATAGTAATACCGATTGCTAAATCCACGTTGGATGAAAATGACGGCATTACGTGTACGCCTGCTACCGAAATACGATTTTAATTGATGTTGCGCGACTACACAAACTTTTTCTAAGTACGGATTGCAAAGAACGATTTCACAATTGATATTGATGTTTTCGTTACATTTTACGTAAGCAGGGATTTCATTCGTGTGCGCAATTAGTAAAGGTATTTTAAATATAGATGGTTGAGTAAAACCTTTGGAAATCAATTCAGTGACGTATCAACAGCTTAAGTTACCCAAGTTCTGTGGAAATTAATAAATTTATGTTACAAATAGATTGTATTTGTAATATATTATGTAATCTTTAACTACTTACGAATATATTTTTTATCATATATCATAGATCGAGATTTAAACAGACCTTAGTCTAAAATTGTTTGATTATCGGACACAAAAATAACATTCGTTATAAATGAAAAATTAATAAAGAGTCAAAATCGTAGATCTGAAGTTACGACCAACCAGATAGAAGCGTGTATCGTTTTATATTCTACTATTTTTTGTCGATTTTTTTTTCTATCTGTACCCTTCTATTCCTCAATCGACATGTCAAAGTGCGGCCACGTTCTAGTGCCGTTGGTTAGGCTCACAAACGGGGGCGGTCCGTAAATTTGATTTTAATATTGAGCACGTAATGCCCTGTTTGCTCACCGCCTGTAATTGATACGGCCCTCTTAGCACGCGTCTAATTCCTGTAATTATTTTCGAATTCGTCGGCTTTGTCTTTTAAACAACGGATTATTTAAATGTTTGAAGTCGTCGAAGCAATTTTGAATATGTAATGAGAACGATATAGAGTTACGTACCTCAATTTAATTATAAATTATTAACTATAAATGTAATTTGAATACAATTTATTTTCTTTCAAACTCAGAAAGTAGTCCAGTAATTAACGCAGAGAAAAATAGACTATGTAAAGACCAAAAAACTGTCGTTAATAGCTATACCAAAGTATATTTCGCTGTATTTAAAAATAAAAGCTAGTAGAAAATTTTCTGTAATCTTACAAAAGGCATTTACACACATAACCACATTATTAATTGCTCTCACGTGAGAGACATTCCGTGAGAAAGATTCGCGCACATGCTACCTTTAAGACGAAGCTTATCCTAAGTATAATTTCCACGGCGGCGACATAAGTTAACAGCGATTCATATCCGATACAGGTGAGATGGGAGTCGAGCGCCGAGCGTTCCCCTTCGCCGCAGAGATTATGGCGGCGCCATCAAATATGCATAAAAGCCGTAAAATGCCACACTTAACTGCTCCCCGACGTTGAGTGTGACGTCACACTGCCTGCAGACGGATGCTCAGACGTCTTGCTAATTAAAAATTGCACGTCGCGATTTGCATGATACGAGACGAACAAATGTGATTCAAAGATTAGTATAGTAGCATACTGGTTTAAGATTTATACAATACATTTGAGATATTTACAGAAGTATTTTGTTGTAAGACGTTAAAACGAGACCTGAAAGACACAACTCCAATTCCCAAGCAATATTTTTTACAAATTTGTCTTCGGTCGGGGACCAAACTGATAAGTAATAAAAACTATCTG